AATACAAGTAAGGGCATTGATTACCAAATCCGTTTCATCTGGGAGGAGTAGTATTTTCCAAGGACCTATCAAGTCAACACAAACCTCATTCCACGGCATGAGTTGGGCTTCTCTTGGGGGGAGTTCACCATATCCTTGACCTTATTCTTTGAACCRGTGGCATTAATTGGGACATTGGTATCTTTGCATCTCTGGCTGAGTCTTGGGGCATAAAACCTAGCATTTATTTTCTCGTAGAGCCTTGTAGGAGTTCCACAGTGTTCCAGCAATAAGAGGTGATACCATCTGAGGGTCCCGTCCACGAGACCATCAGGCAAATAGATCTTCCACATGTTGCCATTAGAATTCCCTCTTTCATTAGTCAGTGTTACTGTGAGTAATTCAAAGGTTCCTATCTTCCTTTTCAAGTAGTGTTTTGGATCAGATTGATGCAGTAGTTGACACTGGTGATCCATGAGTTGAAAGACATCATAAATGGATTCACTCGTTAATGGGTTATCCATTTCTGAGACTAGAGGTAGGTTGAGTAGACACTCATATAGTTCCGGTTCCAAATAGAAGAAATCTTCCAAATAAAAGAGATCTTCGGGATCAGCTGGGGCTGTCAATTCCTTGAAATTCATCAAGGTACCTTTATTTTGCTCATATATTTTCTTTTCTTTATCCCCAACAGTGCACGGATCCATTCTGGGCACKCGAGAGAAACAGTCTGCAAGAACATTGTGCTTGCCAGGTATGTAAACCCAATTTTTGTCAAACCCTACAATAGACAGTTTCTTTCTGAGAACCCGGGACTGGGAAAGTGTCCTGAAAATAAGGTTTTTATGATCAGTATAAATGTTAATCTGGCCGCCGTATGACATATTCCRGTACTCTTTGAGGCAAAGGATCACARCCAATAGTTCCTTTTCCATTGTGGTGTAATTTTTCTGGGTCTTGTTTAATTTCTTGGGTCTTTGAGCTTGAAGGATTGCTGCTCCAATCTGATAGTCAGAAGCATCAGTGTAGATGTCAAAGGGGAGTTTAAAATCAGCAAAGGTGTTAATGGCATCATGTGCYAGCAAGGCCTTCATTTCCTTGAATKCTTTATTGCATACAGGCGTCCATATGTACAGCCTGGAGCCTGTGAGGGCCRTCAGTGGGCTTAGTACGTGTGACTTCCTYGGCCACATTGACATARTTAACAGCTCCCARAAAGGACCWAACCTGTTCTTGGTTCTGTGGAATGTCCAYTTTAAGGATGTCATCAACCTWTTTCTACCATGGTTTGACACTGGTTGGTGTCCTGCCAASCTTGCCACYAAACAATTYRCTGTGTTTGRCTAGCATCTCTTTGAATGCTAGTCTTTTGGGATTAGTCATGTGCTTGTACTCATGGCTAGCATCTCTTTGAATGCTAGTCTTTCTGGATTGGTCATGTGCTCCTGGTTGTTTGCAACCTCCTCAGGAGTGACTCCCTGGTATTTTGCATCCAGGATTTGATTGAGCTATGTTCCACCAGCTGCACTTGGTGTGTTTGCTCTGGCAGTGCCGGTCAGGCCTGCTAAATAACTATATGTTGGTCGACAGGATGGGGGGAGTAGATGAAACTCTAGAAATCCTCTGTCTAAGAGTTCATCATCCTCTGCCAGCCACATGGCCTCTACCACTTGCTGGGGATCATTAAAATGATCTACTGGAGCTTGAGCCTCCTTGATTGCTTCCTTGGTTGTTTCCACSGTAATTGTTTCCTCTTCTATTGAATGGGCATTCTCCCCAGGTATACTCTCCATTGTGCTTCCTGCAGGGTTTTTCATTAATTTTCTTCTTCTGTCTTTCCTTCTGATCTTCAGTGCCRTTGCTGTTGCCGTTGGTTTGCCTTTGCTTCTTTCCGTTCCTTCCCCTGTGTTCACTGGAATTGTTTGCTGCTCTTTTCCTTGACTGGTTTTCTTGCAGCTCCTCATCTGCTATTCCGTTCTGGTCTGTCATGTACTCTACAATTTGCTCACTGGTATCATTGAGGATGTCTCTTCCACAAGAATGGATGTAATCATTTTGCCAAGACTTGGGGAAGGACCTAAAAAG